CAAAAGGATGTTTAAAATACAGTGAAATTTAAAATGAAACTGTTATGACTTTAGCACAAATATACGTGTAGAGAAATGCCACAGAGCAAAGGTATGACTGTCTATACATAGAAGACATGATGGCAAAATCTTTAAAAGATGAGCTCTGTTCCCTCAGCCAGTTATGAGTCAGGAGTTACTTAGACAAGATGATAAAAAAAATAGGAATCAATCTATCAATAAATGTATCAGCTCTATATTGTTTTCCCACCATGATTAATTTTTTATTTTTAAGGATTTTCTTTTTAGAGTTGTAAAATCATAGGAAAATTTCAAGTTTTACAATGAAACATATTAGTTAATTTGTATAACTAACCCTGTATAAATGTTTTTAATTTACAATATACCACCTACTGTTTTCTTTGAAGGTTACATTTTTAATTAAAATGTTAAAGAATTCATTTTATATGGCTCTTTTTCTTGAGGTCTCCTGATTTAAAATTTTTATTTCCTTGTGGAATTTAGTCCTGACCTACCTCTCAATTCAATGTAATTCAACTCTATTCACTTTTAGTCCTAGCCCTTGAGATGATTAAAGACTATCAGACAGAAAAGATACTTAAAGAATAAATGTAATATTTATTCATTCCTTCAACAAATATTTTTCATGTGCTTCATATGTGCAAGTATTATACTGAATTTTGTGGATATAATAATGAATTAAACAGACCTAGTACAGTCTCACAGAGGCCACTAGCTTATGGAAGACGTTAAAATAGTCACATATGCAATAACCTGAGATGAGGTCTATGAAGGAAAACTACAGGTTGCAAAGAGAACACAATGAACAGACTGCAACTAAGACTCATGGAGCAGGTCTCTCTCTTTGATGAAGTGTCCTTAAGGTGGAGAACTGTGGGATGACTAAGAGTCAGACAGAGAAAGGGAAAGCCTGTCAGGTGAGAGCCTGAAAGAAAAGGGCTTGGCAGGTTTGAGAAATAGAAAAGAAAGCAAATTTTCCTAGGAAGAGAGTGGTGAAAAGTAAGGTTAGAGAGGTAAAGGGGTACACATACACTTTTCTATTTTATTACAAGTATAATGGGAAGTAATAGTTTTGAGCAGGAAAGTGATATAAGTGTATACATTTTTCAGTTCAAGCAGAGATAGAAAACTTAGCAAAAAAATTAAGAAAAGGTAAAACTAAATTGTAATGCTCAAGGGTATACACATACAGTAAAATAACAATGTAATGATTACTAGAAAAGTCAAGACGGGAGCTGAGGGTATCACTTAGTGGCAGAATATGTGTAGTAGTGGCTCAGTGTGCTTAATATGTATAAGGCTTAACATGAACAAGGTCTTATCCTCCATAATCTCCAACCAGGTCAAGATAGCAAATTAGAGAGATGGGGAGAATGCATTAGGGACTTCTCAGGATACTGACAATGTTCGGTTCCTTGTTCTAAGTGGTAGTTACATGGATGTTTGTTTTATATTTGTTAAATTATACATATAAATTCTATGTACTTCTCTATGTGTATATCTTAAAATGATAAAATGTTTTCTTTTCTTTTAATAAGAGAGAATTGAGGTGAAGAAGTGGGGGCAATAGATACAGATGACTAAAGAAGCTTGGTTTTGCTGAAAGAGAGTGGTAATTGCCTCCCTGTCCATTCCTCGCATATTTCTTTTAAGAACTGTGTATCTTAATTTTCAATGGGTACAACACCATCCAGGAAAAGATTTTTTTTAGCCTCTTTTGTCCTAGGCATGGCTCTGTATCTAACTCTGGTCCAGCATCTTAATGACAAACTGCTTTTCCTGTATTCTCTCTTTCCCTCTTCCTGTTGACTGGACTTCGACTACAAAGACAGAGTTTCCCTTTGACCCAGAGATGGAAGTCATATGGATGTTGTGAATGGCAGAGTCAAGCCCTGGCAGATCTCTGATTGATTCTGTGAAGCTGAGACATCTACCCTCTACAGACTGCCCAAGTACCTCTATGGTACTATGAGAGCAAAACATACTGTACATCTTTCTTCAATAAGCCACTGCTACAGCAGTTTAACTGTGCACTAATACAGTTATGAAGGAAAGTTGCACGATATGGCAATACAGAGAGGAATAAAGAAATAAAAGATTTTTAAGTAATACAAATAGTAGAACATGTTTAAATATTAATTTAGAGTTTAGAATACAAGAATGGAAGAAAAGATTGAAGAGGTAGTAATCAGAGGTTTAAAAAAAATGGAGCAAATTCCTTGAGAGGATAAGGGGGACAGAATACAAAATTTATATGGAAGAATTGGCCTTTGGCAGAAAGAGAGATACTTGATCTGCTTTAGCAGAAAGAAAGAAGAGGACGGGTGCAGATGTAGAGAGGTTTATAGATATGTTGATAGATGAGGAAGTTCCTACTTAATGTCTTCTCTTTCTCTAGGGAGGATAAAGTACCATCTGAGAATGGAGGGAGTGACAACTGGCAAAGGTTTCAGTAGCATGTGAAGGCACAAAACAGTCATTAGGGAGAAATGTGACATGATGAGTAGTAAGTGTTGAGTCCTTATTTGAAGTAGGGACTCATCAGTTTGTGAGTTACTGATTTTCCAGCCAGGTTCAACTGCTCTGGGATTGCCAGGAGTAGAAAGGTTAAATCCATCCAGAGCTGGGATTACAACCACCAAGTGAAACAGAAGTGAGGAGGACCGAATTTTTCCAAGAGAAGGATTTTAATAATAGACTGTGGAATCAGGGCTGAACAGTAAGAAAGGTAAAGACAGAAACAGGTGGTCAAAACTACAGAAGAAAATGGACTGGAAGTTTCAGTGAGGATGAGCAACCACTGTTTTTCATTGGTGAGCTGGACATAAAATGGTGGAATGTTCAAATGAGGCTGTCAAAGATATCAAGTTCCAGTTAAGAACTGTGACTGGCGGCACCTGAGGTGAAGGGAAAAGGTCTCTGTAGAGGAAGAGAAATTTTCATTCTGACTGTGGTAAGTAGTTTTGTTTTTAAAGCTGAGTAGGACTCTGTTCAGTAGAGAATAAGGGAAGGTCTTAGCTGAAAGGAATAGGGAGGGACTAGAATGTGTAGAAAAAAGTAATACAAAATTTGTGGTGTACTGGGTATGAGAAATAACAATCAGCTTTCCCAGAGGTTAGGGACTATTGGTAAAAGTTCCTGGAAATGTAAGATGAAAACAAATTCTGAAGAAACAAGTATGAAAGTTAGAGTAGTTTAGACATTATTTTCCAGCCCAAGTTGTCAATTATGATGTTACCTGACATTAGTATGTAGAAAGATGACAAATAATATATTTTTTTATCTTATTTACTCTCTTCAGGACTTCCGAATATGTGGATTTGTGATTTTTGTAATACTAGAAAATTCCTCACCATTACGTCCATAGATACTGCTTCTCCCCTATTTTGTTTTCTCTAGAACTTCTACATTGAACTTCTCCTTTAAAAATTAATACGCTTATAGTACATAATGTTTACATTCCTTGAGGGGAACTGGTACAGGTACACACACAATTGTTTTCATCTCCTTTCCCTTCCTTCCCTCCCGCCTCCATCCATCTCTTCGTCTCCTCCTTCTCCTTCTCCTTCTCCTTCTCCTTCTCCTTCTCCTTCTCCTTCTCCTTCTCCTTCTCCTTCTCCTTCTCCTTCTCCTTCTCCTTCTCC